CATTGTTTTTCCACATACATTTTAATTAGAAAGCAGGAGAGTAGATGTGGGTGCTCAGAGAGAAGCACTGGGCACTCTTTTAGTGGACACGGCCCGGATTTAGTGGAAGGAAGGAGCGGGCATGCAGCTCTCCCCCTCTTCCTCCACACTGCACCTCCTCCTCACAACCCAAGGCTTCAGGAGCCCACACCCCCTCCCATCCATCTACCCTTTTATAGTCAGACTACAACCCTTCTTCTAAAAATAAATCCGACTGAGGAGAGGCCAGGAAAAGCAAAGCCTCAAAGTTTTGTACTTTCATTATTCAGTTATGGGACATTAGTTGGACAGATTTATCATCAAGTTTTTATAAATTCCTTTATAAATAAATAATTCTAGGCTATGCCCAAATTACTCTGGCCTCTTGACCCAACATGTTTTTGCAATTACTTGGCTCTCCAACTGTATACTACTTAAATTAGGTAATAGTCACCAAGTTATTTTGGGACCATAGCAACACACACACACACACACACACACACACATACACACACACACACACACACACAGTTATACTATTTGAACTCCTTGGGAAAAAAAAAGCCCAAACCACATTTTTATTGACCCTATCACTTCTGTTCAATCAGTAGTAATAATTCTATTGATCTACATTTATAGTGTTTACCATAGACAAGCTATCTGAAGCAAGCATTCATTTACTTAATTCCAAAATGAACACTATAGATAGCAAGTATACTTGTATCATCTTTCTGTAAATGAGGAAAGTGAAGAACTAAGTGTTCAATTTGTCCAAGGTCCCTGGAAAGGGAGAATGAAGACTAGAACTCAGGCTGGCTAGATCTAGAGTTCTGCCTTCATTTCTCCATTTTGGGGAACAGAGCTAAAGTCTGATGTTTAGCCTTAGGAATTAATCAAAGGCTCTGAATAATTATAGTAATTTGTCAAGTAGATATGTCTTTACTCCAGCTACTTTTTAAAACTCCTCAACATAATCTTGAAAGATGAAAGTAGAAGATATTTTTATCTCCTCCTTCCAAAAAAAAAAAAAAAGCCAAGAAAGAAAGAATATTTTCACAGCATGTCTAGTTCTGGGTAGAGCCATTCAATTGTCACCTAACCTTAAGTTGTCTATTTCAGAAGCCTGTTTGTTTGGGGGAATAGTATGCAACTGATGCTATTCATTTCTCAGGAGTTATAAGAGAAAGCTTTACCATGTGGCTCCTGTATTTGACTCCTACCTGTGTATTGGTCTTATAAACTATTTCCATGTCTTTCCCTTGTTCCCCCAATTCCCCAAAGCCTCTGGTACAGAGTATGGCTGTGAGAGACCTGTAGCAGTCAGTCAGTGTGTCCATTTCCTAATAGCACTTAACAAGCTCTGATCTCTCGCTGAAGAAAGGGAGAGACAGGAGGCCCAAGGTTGCTTCAATGTGGCCCTTGGAGCTTTCCCACCCTGAGGAAAGAAAAGTGTCTTCTCAGATCATAAGTCCACCACAGTGGGATTCTAAGTTGTAAAAATAAAAAAATTCAGATTTGTTCATGATCTGAAGTATTTAGCAGTGGAAATGTCTATACCATCCTAAAAATAATCCTGTTTGTAAAATTTTGAATACTAACTTTAAACATTAAACATACTTAAATGCATCAGAATAGTCAATACGGTAAGATATTTCAACCAAAACAAAAGATATAAAAAATAGAATACTAGTAATTTTTTTATCTAACAAGTATAAGGGTAGTCATATACTTTTGTACTTGTCCCCAAGTGTCTGAACATTTTTATCATCAGGTTTTAAGGACACGGTTACCTTTAAAGAAGCTGTAGCAATCAACTTTTCTCCTCCTACATGGGGATAAGTCAGGGGTAAAGCAAAATTATTTTCCTGAATCCAACTTGGTTGAAGAGAGAAGAGGCCTTTTAAACATTATAGCAAAACAGAGTGGCTTTCATTGCAGAATGTCAAGGACTACCTAATATTTTTTTTTATTTCATTTGCCTAAGAAATCAAGTTACAGTTGATTTAAAAATCACCTTTAGGCAAAAAGAGATTGTCATTTTACCAAAGACTTTTCATACACCTAAATCTGTAATTTTCTGGAATCCTTTACATTGGATTGAACAAAAAAAGCATGCGGAAGGGTACTATTTATTCTTCAGAAGATGAGAAGAAAATGTGGATTCAGACATAGGTCACAAGGGGGGGGGACTGTAAACTAGAACAGTAACATAATCTCAGGGGCTTCCATGCCTCTCATCAGTTTTTTTTCCCCCAACCTGACACAGCATTATGAAAATGGCAACCAAGCAGCAGCTCTAGATGACAGGCAGTACCAAAAATGGAGACCATGGCAATGAAACAGGGGAATGTAAAACTTGGACAGGGAGGGTAGCAACCAGTGTTTACAAACAGGAACTAGGGACTCAGAGGGACCAGGCATAAATTACAAACGATTGTACTGAAATCTGAAAATAAATCAGCAAGGCCTTAGATGTTCCTACCACACATTCTAAGCCCTGCCACACACACACACACACACACACACACACACACACATTCATTGCCTTATCTTCCCTGCAAAATTGACTCATTCCAAAATGGCACCACCACTACTTCTTGCTGAAATATAATCTCAGATCATCAAGGGAGGGGACTCCTAAAATAAACTCAGAAGACAAGCCAGACCAGGATGGGTCTGCTGGACTCACTGAAGAACTTAGGAAAAGTTGCTGACCAAGCCTGTTGAGACAGGCCGACTCCATTCTTTGTGTCAATGGTACTATGGAATTAACCACTGGTTTGAGCAGATGTAATAACAAGGCGTGTCCCAATAATGACCTATCCTTTCTTTCTTCTTCTCTATCTTAGAATCATTCTGAGATTTTAGGCCATCCTCTCCCTCCCCTCACCAAAGATACCAAATTCATCATGATAATCATAAATAAAGTAGATGACAAACCCTTCAGATCCCGAACAACCTATTCTCAACCAAATGCTCAAATACATGAAGAAAAATTACCACCAACACCCCGCAACTACAATGAATCCAACCTCTATCACAGAGAGTCTTCCAAGTCAACCGCCGCGGTGTCTCACCAACCCGAAATGAGGAGCGCTCAGTGCGGCCTCCCAGGGCCCCTGGCGGGGTGAGGTCAGTAGCACGTCCGGCCCCGCCCCACTGAGGCAATCTTATTCTGACATTGAGGAGCCAGTCCAGCCAGCACTACCCTCAGCTGCATCCACAGGAAAGGGGAAGAGGGCACCTCGTCTACATCAGTAGCACTCGGGAGATTCATTTTTCTCAGTAATTGAGAAGCCAATCTTCGACTCCACAAGGCCCATCGCGAAAGCAGGGCCTTCAGCTCTACTTATATTCAAGTTTCTGGTTTTGTGTCTCTTGATACCTCTCTTCCATCACGCAGAAACAAAAAAAAAAAAAAATAAGGACTGTTTTTCATCGAGAATATCTACTCTACCGAAAAAAAGACAGCAGCAAGAACATCAGTCTTTGTTCCCCAAGACAAACTATTATGACAAATGCAAAATTTGTAGGTGGTATTTTCTCATCTGGAAAAGGCCAAGCCAAGAGCATGGAGAGCCAACAGCTGGGTAAACCTATTGGGAAATACTCAAAAGTCAACCAAATACAAGTACAGATATAAAACACAGGAAAAAGACCTGAATTTATCTGTCACTCCAAGAAAACCCACTGCCATCCACCCCACCTCAAAAAAGGGGGGAGAGGGAGAATGTTCTGGAGCTTCCAGAACATTCTGCATCCAGTTCTGTGATGTTCTCCTTCCCCTCAGAGCCTACAACCCATAAGCAAAGATATGCTATTGTGAAGGCTGAAACCAATGAGAACAAACCAATGAGGATAGATGGGAGAATGGGAAAGAGGCAACAGCACAGGAATCAAACATATTTCTGAGAACATGCTTAATGAAAGGCCAAATGCACACTTTGGAAGACATGGTGAATGGCAGACCTGTCCCATAAAGATAAATAACTAATTTGTCCACTTAAATAGTCCACTGCAATTTAAATGTGCAGTGTGTTCAAAGGAACCCAACAATACTTTTGATCAACACATTTTAGGAGACTGGCTAAACATACATAAACATTTTCTTGTGCTCAAAGCACAAGAAAAGAGGAGATAGAGGACCAGATCTCACTACCACCACCTAGTAGAGGATGTGGTATGTAATGTCTCCAAGGCCAGTGTCAAGAGGCAGAGAGATAGAAGTGAGCTTGGTACAGGATCAAGGGCATCCTTGCCAGGTTAGCAATACTATTATTGGTGTCACTGGGGGCCAGCTCCAATAACCTCAGAGTTACTGTGTGTGCATTCATTAGACTGCTGTTTCTTGGGCAGAGTCAGGATGTCAAACATTTTTCAAGTGAAACCACAAAGAACAATGGGTTGGAGAGTGTTTCACACAAATTTCACTCTGGCTTCGAAATTCCGGTAGAGGAAATTGATGTATTTAGTGAAACTACTTTTCATAGCACCTTAAAAATAAAAATCTCTGCCATTCTTGAAGGTTACTTTCTAGACCCCATCAAAGTCAAGATGGTCAGAAGGCAAGAAAGAAAAAGAATTACCCACACAGAGAAATGGCACCTAGGGATTTACTTAGAATTCACAGTACTGCTTCCTCTAGTACTTATGCATTGTTTAAGAGACAATAACTTCCCAAGTATTTATGGATTTGAATAAAGCTACCACAGCAGGCATGACCCAACATCCCACTTAGATGTATGAAGCCTCTCTCTGGAAAGGTAAGAAAAGTATTAGAAGCCAAGTCAAGGTTAGAACCCAGATCTTCTGATTTCCAAACAAACCATACCAAAATAAAGATTATAGAAGAGAAGACAAGAAGATGGTTTATTCTGGTCTTTGGTAGCCAGGGTTAAAGAAAAGGCTGTGGTTTCTAAGAAAAACCCAAAGTGAGCCCAATCAGTGGAGACTGTGTTTGGCAAAGAAGCAGGGACCATTACCTTTTAATACCAGCGGTTCTTTGCCTTCTCTCTTCAGTGACTCGAGGACTATATGAAGAGGCTGGGAGGGCATCACTCGACTCGGCTCATTGGTATTCTCATCATAAACTATAATTTCTTTGGAAAAGATCCTCTTGAAGGAGTCTTTGCCTTCTCTACAGGAAATCAAGTCTAGGACAGTGATCTTGCCCTGCTGTAGTCTCCGCCGGCTGATCTTATCGGCACAGTTAATGTGGACAGCTCCTTGGATGTGACTCTTGTTGTACTCCATGAAGGGCCGGCAGTCAATGATGACCGGGCCCTGGCTGGGCAGGTGACTCTTACTGCATTTGGTCATCTTCTTTGCCAAGTCATTGGGGTATATGATTTTGATGCTGGCTAGCTGCTTGGGGGTCCCTGACACAGGACTGCCCACCCCACCTGATGGACTTAAAGAGCCTGTATTCTCATTGTTGTTGACCATCTGGTTAGCAGGACAGGTGGTAGAGGTTCCGATGGTGGTGGTGGCAGTGCCAGCAGCAATGGCTTGGGTCTGGCCCTGATTGTCCTTGTCGTAGGTTGCCACAGTGCAGCAGCTGGCACTGCTGCATCCACAATTCAGAGAGCGGGCAGAGCCGCTGGATGAGGGCATATACGTCAGATTCGCAGCCTTGAGGGTCACAACGGTAGTGGCGATGACAGGAGGGTAGTTACTACTGCCTGGGGTGGCAGAGTCAAGGTAGCTAGAGTCTAAACAGAGGTTGAGATCCTGAGGTCGGACGGGCCTAGACAATGCCACTACTACCCTGTCGTCTAAAGGAGATGGAGGCATGAGGAGGCTGAAAACTGGCAATTCAAGAAGAACTCAAGAGTCTGTAAAGAAGGGGAGGGGGGAAAGAAAGAATAAAGTCACATGGCACGAAAGTCAGCAGTCTCACCCCATCCCTAGGAAAGGCCTTTGTTTAGCTCTGTACAAAGTCATCCTAGGAACCCTTTATTATTCTGCCACCAAAGCTTGAAACTCCTTCAGATGTATGAGATGAGTGCAAACCTAAGCGTCCCATCTATTTGACTTCTAAGTCTGGGGTTACATCTAGAGTTGCTGTTGGAAATATTAATGCAAAAATCAACATGGACCTACATCAAAGTTCATCTTTGGAGAAAGACACAGGCACAATGAGTGAGAAAAATCTGAAGATAGACATGAATGTCCTGTAGATATCTATTCTGGGTCTCCTTATGACAGAAGAATATCATCACTTAGAAAGACCCATTTGCCCACTCCTGTATACTTTTCACTTAATTCCTTCACCACAAAGGCAGATATGATCAAGAACACTGGCATGGCTCACGGAAATATACAACTGGGATATATATATATATATATATATATATATATATATATATATATATATATATATATATATATATATCAGGGGTAATGTCAACATTTTTCTTCCAAATCAGAATGAAAGTAGCCTCCTAAGTGAATCTCTTTAACTTTGAGCTATTTTTGCTTCTCCTTTCTACTGGGTCCTTAGAAAAACACAACATAGTCATATTAAAACCTTTCATATTTTCTGCTAGCTTCTTACAAATCAACCTGCATTCCTCTTGTGGCTGGCTCACAAGGTAATCTTCAAGGAACCAGGTCTGGTCATCCCTACCCTGGCAGTTCATCCCTAAGAGACGCGTTTCCATTCCCGCCTCTAAGGAATGGACTTGTACTCTCCTCCCTTTATCTGATACAAAGCACAGACTTTACATCCTTGGGCTGCATAGAAGATGTTCATCACATATGGAGACCTCCTCCCTTTCAGAGAGAGCATGGCTCCCATAAAGAGGACTCCACTGCCCCCATTCAACAGGACAGGTTAGTTGAGAAGTGCTGCCCACCAGGGCTTGCTCTGGTGAGGGCAAAGGCAGGATTCCTTTCTTCTCCATTGTAAGTATGGGCCATTCTACATGGCCCTAGACATGCTCTCTACTAGACATGCTATAGCAAAGAAATCAAACGTCAGGCAAGAGCCTTCCAGACCTAAAGGAACTTTGGGTCGGGGGGAAGAGACTGTCATGTACCATCCATCTACACAGGTGACTGGCACCACTCTCTGACAAGGCAGAAGACACACACGCACACACAGGGGCACCTACCCATCAGATCGACTCGGATTTCTCTCACCCACGTTTGGATGCAACGGAAGGATCCAACCTCTTGCTTCTCTCCCTCCCTCTCTCTTTCCCTTGCGTAGTATTTTTTTTAGAGCGAGTACTATTCCACAAGCTATAACTGCTCCCCAGCCCGGACTAGGCGGTAAAAGATCTTGCTAGTGTTGTTACCTGGCAGGGTATGTCGGGATCAGCAGTGCACTTCATCGGAGGGAAGACTGTAACAACCGTGCTCCCAAAGACTCATGCTGGGACCCCCCCTCCCCCGCGCGCCCCGCAAACCTCCACACAGGGTGCGCGGCTCACACGCACACGCTCAGAGTACCCAGATCTGCATTCCTGCAGCAGTGAGGGTCGGGCGTGCAAAGTGTCCGTGAAACCATTCAGCCCAGCCCAGTAAATCTCCCAGAGAAATCTTCAGCTACCTACCCTCCCTCCGCCCCCCCCCCCGCTTTCCTCCTTAGTCTCCCTTCCACCATTAGGCAAGGTCTAGAGAGAAAATGAAGTGTGTAGAGAATGTTCTTTCCCTACTCCTGGGGCAGTCAACAAGCCTCTTCCTCGTCACACAGCGTACTAACAAGCCCTGGGCATCCAAAACTGCCGCAAAGCATCCCATCAAACCTTATTTTCCCGTTCAACCTTAACCCAAGTTGACTGCAGTGAGAGTAAACGCACTGGGCAACCCCAGCCAACGGGAGGAACCTTATAACCTTACCTGCTGTAGCTCTTCCGTCAGCATCTCTCTCTTTCTCTCTCTCCTCTCTCTCTCTCTCTCTCTCCCCCCCTCTCTCCCTCTCTCCTCTCACTCTTCCCCTCTCACCGTTCGTTTCTTCTCTCTCCCTCTTTCCCCTTCTCCTCTTTCCCTCTTCCTCTTTCCCCCGTCTCCTCACTCTCCTCTCTCATCTCTCCCTATCTCTCTCTCTCTCTCTCTCTCTCTCTCACACACACACACACACACACACAACACACACGCGCGCGCGCGCGCGCGCACCACACTCCTGGGCTCTTAGGAGTAGCCGTGAGGACTTCCACTTACTTCATGAAGAAGTGTAATCTTCCACCACCCGGAGCTCCGCTTCAGCTTTGAACTCGCCACGTCCAGCCCCCATTCACTTAGCTTCATTGATCTCCAGCAGCAACATAGTTACTTTCTCTTTTGCTACACTGTAAATGTAAGGTTCTGAGGGGGCGGGGCACATGACGACCGACGGCTCTTGAGACCAATAAAAATGCGAAGGAAGAAGACCGCTACCTCACAGAGGCCCGCAGCCAATCAGCGGCTTGGAGGGCGGAGCCGAAGGCGTGGTCTCGTCTCTTTAAAGGAGGGTCTATCTGACGCGGCTTTGGGCTCTCAGTGTTATAACACGGGCGGTGATGTCATTGGCAACCAATCAAAAACTTAAAAGAGCCAGCCGGAGCCCGCGCGGAGCAGCTGCTCTCTATTTACTTGTAAACCGAGCCAGCAGGATGCACTTAACCCTTTCCGGGGCTGAATTGTCAATGGGCTGCGCTCGCCGGCGGGCTAACTCTGGGTTTTCCTCTGCTATTCTCCTCCACAACGCCCCGTGGGACTGACTACACTGTGACTTTTATTTTTCCTTCTTACTCAGGATAGATGATCAAAAGCATTGGGCTAACTTTATAAATACTAGGGACGACCAGAAAATCCCCGTCCCTCCGAATATGCTCCAGGTGACTTGGATGAATCCGAACCCAAGGTTCGCGGATCTTGCCGGGTCTCTAGCGCTAGGCCGGACGTGAGTGTGCAAGCAAGGGGCGTCACTGATCCTCCGGCCGGCAGTCCCCCGGCCTCTAGGCCCTTCAGCCCAGCTGCGGACCTCCAGCCTCGGCCCCCGCGACCCTGCAGCACTCCCCCACCCGCCTTCACCCCCGGCCCCGGTCGGTCGACGGCGCCGCCTTCGCCCGCAGATGTCGCTGCCCCTCTGGCTTCCCAACAGCTCTCCCGCGCCGCGGGTGCGCGAGGTCCTCCGTGCCCCGGTCACGCCTCCATCATCCCCAGTTGCAATCTCAGACGCCAGGCACAAACGAGACTCCTCCGAGGGCTGCTTGGAGGAGGAGGTGGGGGAAGAGACTTGGGTCGGTGCCCTGAGGCGCGACCTGAGCTGCAGCGCCCGCACCACTGTCCAAGGCTGGGCGCCCGCGAGGCCTTCGGGAACCTGCTACGTCCCCAGCTCCTGGCCCCGGGCCGGGCCTCCCGGATGCCCGCCCGCCATCGCGGGCTTGGCCCCGCGCGCAGTGTCCCAATGCACCGCCCGCATCCCGCCCGCCATCGCGGGCTCGGCCCCGCGCGCCGTGTCCCAGTGCACCGCCCGCATCCCGCAGCCCATGGGTCCTGCGCTGCTCAGCCGGCGCCCCTCCGTCCCGCTGGGCCACAGGCAAGTCGAGGAACGCCAGCCAGTCCTTTCTAAAACAGTCTCCTCGGGCGGAAGAGAGCCACAGCCCAGGCAAAATAGCCGGATTGAATGGACCTGTAGGAGCAACGGGCGCAGGGCGACCCCTACCCCAGTCCCTCTGCATCTGGCCAGTAGAGGGTTCTCTGGCCACTGCACAAGTCCTAGGAAGAAGTGCAGGAAGTTGGTCAAGCTGCCCAGTGGCTCAAAAGACAAATATAAAGAAAATTACTCTACAAAAAATTAGAATACACAAAGGAGTGGAAAACCCCAGAAGAACGGTGGAGAGTCAACATGAGAGAATTCCAACATAATAACAATAAAATAAATAGAGCATTTTATACTCCCATAAACTCCCACCTCAGAGAGGAAGGGAAAATATGAAGTAATTACAATGGATTAAATCAGTATTATGGTATGCTTGGCTATTTTTTTTTCTTATCGGATAGGACCAAGGCCTAATAAATACACTAAGTGACAGAGATATCTTCATGTAATTACTTTCAAGTGTAGATCCAAAATCCAAAGGGGCCAAAAGATAGCTGGCCAACTCCTTGCAATTAAACTGTTGAAAGAAATCCTAAGTCTTGTTCTGATGGCTCACACCATTAATCTTTAGCTACCCAGGAGGCTGAGATCTAAAGATCACCGTTTTCACCAGCAGATGCAGGAAAGTCCATGAGACTCTTCAGTTAACCACCAAAAAGCTAGAAGTAGAGCTGGAGCTCAGTAGGAAAAGCCCCCACTTTGAGGGGAAAATCTAAGGAACAGATACTAGGCCCTGCGTTTAAGTATCAGGATGGACACAAAGAAAAAAAGTAAGAAATCTCTCAATACATACATATTCACATCCATATTTGATCACACCTCAGACGCACATAGTGTCTTAAAATTTTGTGTAACCCTCTCCATTTCACTCACATACCTTTCACATACATTTGCCCCCTTAATGACAACTAATAATATTCTGAACACAATATTTTGTCCTTACACCTTTAATAATCAAAGCAAGTCATGGCCAGTAAAATCAGGTTCTAGGACACGTCATTATAAATCAGGAAAGAAGTTCTTGGAGGGTTTATTCCACATCTATTTGGAGCTGAAAAGTTACAAGCCTTTCCCTATGTACAGAAAATTGTTAGGGGTGGGTTGAACTGTTTCAGGTTTTTCTGTTTGTTTTGTTTTTTTTCACTCAGGGTTTGAGAGTTTTGATTCTTAGTCTATCCATCTGTACAGCCAGAGTCATCAATATACATTGAGTATATCTATGTGTAAGGTATATTAAATAGGTAGGTGAAGAAAACACCACACGCTATTCAGGCAGGAGAAGAAGTTTATTTACCGAACTGCTGCCCCCCAACCATGCATGGTGGAGAAGCATGGCTGAAAAGGAAAGGTGGGGGGGGGAGCGACCCACTCCTGGGCCAGGACTTCTCTAGGCCAGGGACAGGAAGAGATGTGGCCCGATGGGGGGAAAGGTGTGGCCACACTGGATCTGGATGTGACCTCAGGGTCTAGGACCCTCCTAAGGTCAGATGGGAGGCATGTGACCAGAGGTGGTACCAGGGAGTGACCTAGCAGGAGGGGAAGGTGAATGCTGTCATGTCTGCCAGTTACCTAGGTCACAGATATTGGGCGGAAACTTAGCCAAGAGGTAGGGGAGGTGTCCCTGTGCAGACCTTACACTATGTATCTGTAAAATGCTAATACCCCAGTTCAGAAGGACAAAGGAAAAAGGATTATGCAAGTGATGGAGGGAAGGGAGCAGATGGTAGGGAAATGGGGGGAATCTCTGTTGAGAATAAGACCTTCAGTAAGAAATCATTGTCCTTGCTTCAGGAATGGAGAGCCTTTACACTAACACCTCAATACCTAAGCACAGACACAGTAGGAATTTAATGCAATTGCAGAAGAGACCTGTTCTTCTCACAAAGCTCCAGTGGGGAAAGTAACTGGGAGAAGAAAAAAAAAAGAAATGTAACTCACTTAACAAGATGATTATTTTATTATAGCTTTATACTCATGAATTATTATAATTCAGTCGACTAAGCATCTAAGTCATCCAGGCTGAAAAATTGGGAATGATGGCAACATTCTTCATCGTTTACCAGCCCCAAAACACCGAATAAGTACCAGATTGTTAGCATATACAAAGATGTAATTTTTGAATTAAACATCTGTGAGGTGTATATCTTCTACTCAGATTACTGAGTCGTAGAAAGCAAAAATCAGGCAAGAGTTTTTTAGGTTCTTTTTCCAGTCACTATACTTCTTCTTTTGCACCAGAAGAGATGATTTTGTTCCTGTTTCTGAGTTGTTAAGTGGACATAGTACCTAACTTGAATTTGTAAAATTCATCAGCCAATAGCTATGAATTTAATCTGTATACAAAGAACCAGCAGAACTTTAATTCTCAGAGAGAGAAGGAGAAGCATCTTCATTGTTTAGGGATATTCAAATGTGATTGTACCAAGTCCTGGCATTATCCTTACAAATGTCCTGGCATTGTTCTGACAAGCACTGTAAGAAAATGTATCTTTCAGTGCAAAATTCTATGTGGTAAAGCCAAAAAAGTTGAGGATAGCATAAGCCAAGATATAAGATAGCATATGGATAGTGTTTAAAGACATATAGATCCAAGAGTTTTCCTTGTTTTATTTTGTTGAAACAAAAGATTTGAAAATACTTAATACCTTTAAAATGAAATCTTTTTTTCTTTCTTTTTTTCCCCTCTTTTTGTCAGTCATGAGGCCTGAACTCTGGGCCTGGGAGCTATCCCTCAGCTCTTTAGCTGAAAGCTAGTGCTCTACCACTTGAGCCTCAGCCCCACTTCCGGCTTTTTCTGCTTATGTGGTGCTGAAGAATCGAACCCAGGGCCTCAGGCACTCAAGGCAAGCACTCTACCACTGAGCCACCTTCCCAGCCCTAAAAATGGAATACTTTTAAGTAGTGATAAAATTGTTTATATTCACTCAACTGGTTAAGTTTTGGCAGAATGTGAGGTCTTCAAACTAATCCAAGTTCAAGGAATATTTGGGGGAAATCTAGAATGGAGACAGAAGAAGGTTTAGTAGAATTTTAGTAATAATAAATCCCAGAATGAAGATAGATGTGAAGATAAGTGGAAGAATAGAGAAGTGAGGTGGTGAGCAACTGAGGTCAATGAGACCCACCTGGGAAAACATCCCATAGCAACTTCCAGGCCTCAGTCAGGACTCAAGAGGAGGGTTCCCTGAAGGAAGTGGATGGATAATCCAATGTTGTGGTGCATGGGTGGTAGCGCGTGCCTATAATTCCAGCACTCAGAGGCTAAGACAGGAAGATTACAAATTTGAGGCCAGAGAGAAGGGATGGGTTAGGAGAAATGTCAGACACTTTGTACTCATATACTGTAAAATGAGAACTTCTTTGTACAACTACTTAAAGATAATAAAAAAACAAAAAACAAATTTGAGGCCAGCGTAGGCCACAATGTAAGAATCTCTCAAAAACATAACAATGAAAAAAAGTAGAACCTTTCTGAGATAATTGAGTCATTAAGATAGAGCTTGCATGGATGAAGCTGGAAAGTAGATTGCTTCCCCTCTGTTCCTTCTGCCATGTGAGGACTCAACATTCAAATCTTCCACAGTAGAGAAAACAGCCAATGTCTTTGTGTTGGAGTTTTCAGCCTCTGGGAAATATGGGAAATAGATTTCTATTCTTTGTAGATTACCCAGGCTTACATATTTGGTGATAGCATTATGAATGGGCTTAGATGACTACTTTTCAGAAATGGAAATAAGCAGTCATGTGTTTCTATCATTGTCTACAAGTCTGGACACAAGGTGTCTGAAGTTCTTCCCTGGGGATTGAATGAGGAGAAGCATTTGTGACTCAGTAAAGGGCTCTGGGCCATTTAAGTTTCTATGCCTGTATGTTTCAGTAAGGCGGTCACATACCACATATGGCTATTGTACACTTACAAGGTGGCTAGCCTGACATGAAATGTGTTGTACACCAGATTTAGAAAACATCATGGAAAAATATAAAATAGCTTCATTATAAGTTCATAAGTGGGATGTTTATGTTTTCTGTTTACTTAGTATTGGGCTATTATAAAGCTTCCTCTTGCCAGGCGCTGGTGGCTCACGCCTGTAATCCTAGCTACTCAGGAGGCTGAGATCTGAGGATCGCGGTTCAAAGCCAGTCCGGGCAGGAAAGACCGTGAGACTCCTATCTCCAATAAACCACCAGAAAACCGAAAGTGGCGCTGTGGCTCAAGTGGTAGAGCGCTCGCCTTGAGCTGAATTGCTGAGGGACAGTGCCCAAGCCCAGAGTTCAAGCCCCATGACCGACAAAAAAAAATAAATAAATAAAAAATAAAGCTTCCTCTTTTTTTTTTTTTTGGTGCTGGGGCTTGAACTCAGGGCCCTGAACTTGCTAGGAGGCATGCCCACTACACCTTCAGTCATCATGGATACTGAGAGCAGGAAACAACACAGCAGGGCTATTCTGGTAGAACTCTGTGTCTACACCCCTCCCCTTTCCTTCATATTTGATGTATGTATGGAGACATGCAGATATATAGACATGATGGTGTATTCATGAGACTCTGGAGTGGCTTTTTTTTTGAAGGAAGGATTTTGATTATTCTTCCTGTTCTGCTTCATTTTATGGTCATTGTCAATCATTTGAGCTATAAGGCAGTTTGCAGCCCAGAGAACAGAGCTGACACAGGCAAAACCATGCATAACTTCAGAACTTGGCCCTCACAGTCATTTTTGAAGTCTGGCCTAGCCTCCACCAGCTATCTAGAGGTAACTGCCTGGATAAGGAATTAATGAATTGCTTGTCTTTGCTTATGTTGGCAGATCCCTTTCCTGAGCAGTTTTTTTTCCCTTCTCCACTGACCACCCATTTGTGACCTCACAAATACCTGCTAGCTTTTGTCAAGAGAAGGGTCTGGCACAACTCATATGTAGACCATTGACAAGCCTATTTATCTTATGGTTATAACTAACTTACTGGCCATGGGTTTGTAGCAACATTCTTCTACATGATGGATGGCCTATTATCATTTAGTATGGATTACCACATAAGAAGGTTTTTTTAATATTTTACTGTTATCATATTTAGCTAAGCCATTATTTGTTATCATCATGAAAATCATCAGAACTATAGTCTTTGAACCCTCTGAATCTAATGGGTTGCCTAAATGTGTCAAGGAAAGCAAACATGTACTTTAAATATTCCCAGACCCCTTCA